TATATTTTTGTTTGCATGTTTGTGCGTGTTTGTATGTGTGTGTGTGTTTATATGTGCGCGCGTGTTTGTATGTGTGTGCGTGTTTGTATGTGTGTGCGTGTTTGTATGTGTGTGCGTGCGAATGTATGATGTACGTGATTATTATATATGAAGAGGTGATTGTGGATGACGATGACGATGACGATGGTAGTTACTTGCAGATGTTATGGCGAGATCAAAGAATGCATCTGGGCATCATTTACTCGCTTAAACGATTGTCTAATAGTGCGTGTTTGTCTGTTTTGTTTGACTCTGTTGTGTGTGTGTGTGTGTGTGTTTTTTAGTGTGTGTATGTGTAATGCATATATTTTATGTATGTGTTTGTCGATTTTGTTTGGCATTTTTGTGTGGTAGTTTTGTATGCCTCTATAATAATACATTTTTTCACGTGTGCGTGAGATTTTGTAAGTACATACATACATGTACGTGTGTAAGCACACGGATATGTGTTTTTGTACGTATTTAAATACAATTTTAATATAAAAAAAAGGTTGTCTCTGATCACTGCATTGTTATTTTTCTACTGACTAAATGTTTTGAAGCGACAACAATAAATGTATTAAATTAGTTGTGAAAGTACTGCAATAGTAACATTGTTAAAATTAATTTTAGTAGTAGTAGCAGTTATAGCAGTAGTAGTAGCAGTTATAGCAGTAGTAGTAGCAGTAGTAGTAGTAGAAGCAGCAGCAGTAGTAGCAGAAGAAGCAGTATTAGCCGCAATGAAGATAGTATATTTATATTAATGGACTGAACAGAGACGATAATAAGTGGTCTTAATTATATATCTTTTGTATGCCTGGCTGCCTGCTGTGAGTGTGGCAATCATTGCTTGTGTGTGCGTGTGTGTGTGTTTGTGTTATGTGTGTTGTGTGTGTGTATGTTTGTGTGTGTGTGTGGTGTGTGTATGTTTGTGTGTGTGTGTGTGGTGTATGTTTGTGTGTGTGTGTGTTGTTGTTTCATCTCTATTGACATGAAATTAATTAGGAAAATGAACTGTGCAATATCGGTCAGTCGATTGACCTTTCCTACAATACAATCAATCTGACAATTTAATTAATCAACCAATTTTATTAATTTGTTCATTCATTTGTTTACATAGTCAGCTATCAATTAATTAATCAATCAATTAATTAATTTAATATTTAATCGTTTATTTTTTCGTTAATTAATAATTAATTTATTTCTTATTCAATCATTTATATATTCATTCATTCATTTATTGTGTCAAACATTACTACCATCATCGCAAGCGTCATCATCACGTCACAAACACCACCACCACCACCAACAGTGGCGGGAAGGCAGCTACACGGACAACGACTTCGTGTACAGAGTGTACAGTTCGTGTACCAAGGGTCGGAATCCATTTGACAGTTGGGTGGCTACACCTCCGATTGACGTCAGCGTTAATAAGAAATCCACCACAGCCACAAACAACAACAATGTGAATAATAACTTTTATAATGTTAACAACAATAATAATAATAATAATAATAACATAGTCGGTGATGATCATGATAGTAGTGGTGGTAGCGTTCCTAACGCATTGTACGTTGAAGTGACGTTCACGATGATATCGTGCGAGGAGTTGAAGCAACAACAGCCGCGATTGCCGCTGCATCAACAACGAATGAACGACAACGCCAAGCAAAATACGAAGGAGTATTGTTAGTAAATGTTGCGTTACTATTACTACATTGTCGTGTTTTTTTGTTTTGTTTTTTGAACTAGTAGTTTTTATTGTTGTGGCGATATGGCTAAGATGCCGGTACTGTTGTTGTCGTTAAAACGTTCAAACGCAAAAGAGTGCATTAACTTACGTGTGTTGTGTTGATTGATATAGATGGAAAAATTTGGAAAGCGAACTTAAAAAGTAACAAAGTGTTGTTACCAGAGGAGGCAGTAATGTGATTACATTGTAATTGTAATGAACAGCAATGTAATTGTAATGAACAGCATTGTAATTGTAACGAACAGCATTGTAATTGTAATGCTATTTCCGCTATTTGTTCTTTAATATAAGTATAAGTAGAAGCAGCAGCAGCAACAGCAGCAGTAGTAGTAGTAGTAGTATTAGTAGTGCTAGTAATAGTAGTAGTAATAGTAGTGGTAGTAGTGGTAGTAGTGGCAGTAAGTGTAGTAGTGGTAGTAGTAGTAGTAGTAGTAGTAGTAGTAGTAGTAGTAGTAGTAGTAGTAGTAGTAGTAGTAGTAGCAGTGGTAATAGTAGTAGTAGTCGGAATGTGGAAAGTAGCGCTGAATGATTGATTAGCTTATTGATTATCAGCATTATGGTGCAAGAGAATTTATGCTGCTGTTGTTGTTGTTGTGGTTGTTGTTGTTGTGGTTGTTGTTGTTGTTTTGGTTGTTGTTGTAGTTGTTGTTGTTGTGGTTGTTATTCTGATACAAACATTTTGGTTGTCGGTTGTTATTTTTGTTATAATAATAATAATAATATTAATAATGAGAAAAAGAAGAAGAGGAAGAAGATAATAATGATGATATTTATTAAAATTGCTCTTATTTCTTAGTTTTTAATCTCCTTAATTGAAACATTTGCATGCGTTTTATTGCATTGATTATTGTAATTTTATCGTTGCTGTTGTTGTTGTTGTTGTGGTCTGCCTACGCCAACAATAAAATAACTGATATAAGGATAATAATTTTATTATATATTAAAATAATAACAATAATAAAATTGATAATAATAACGTCAATGATTTTAAGGATGATGACGATTACAATGGTAACGACGACGACGATGATGATTGTCGTTCGCTTGAGTTTCATTATTATTATTATTATTATTATTGTTGTTGTTGTTGTTGTTGTTGTTGTTATTATTATTATTGTTACTCTTACAATGTGCTTTTAAGGTTTTTTGTTGTTGATGTTGTTGATGTCATCGTTACTAATGCTAGCTATCGGCCACACACTCAATCTACTTTAAATTTTGTAATTTCAGTAATGTTACGTTCGCCTCCTTGCCACATTATATACGTTTGCACGCAACACTATTATTTTTTTTCATTTTTTTTTCTATTTTTGGCATGATCTTGTTGTGGTTTTAACAGGATTAAGAATTAATTAGTGAATAAATGAATTAAAATAAAATGTGAAGTTATACATATATATATAAATTAAATAATTTAAATTAACATATCGGTCAAAGAAATTAATTACGTTAGTGAATGATAATGTATTAAATATATTCATAAATGTTTTGTTTTTATTTTCGTTTTAACTTATTAATATAGTGTATACGTATTTATGTTTCAAGTAGTGTTCGGTTAGATTTTTAGTGTGATTTTAGTTGTAATAATGTTGTTTGGATGTCAGGTGTTATGCTGTTAGCCACATTTCCTTGAAGCATAATTAGTATTAGTGGTTGAATAGTGGAATCATCAAACTCAAAGACATGACATCCACTTAAGTTCCATGTTCCTCTCAGAAGGTCATAAAATTGGAACTCTGTGATATTCCAATTCTCACTGATCCGGCTGTCTTTGCTTCTAACGCTAACTAGAAATACACACACACTCAAACACACACTACACACACACACACACACACACACTCAAGCCCACACCACACACACACACACACACTCAAACCCACACAGACACACACACACACACCACGCACACACATACACATTATAGAAACCATTTTAATATGTTTACCGTAATGTTTAAAATTGCAATTTAAATTTAATAACATCATTTCTTATTAATAACTATATTAATACATATAAAACATCTTTTTAAAATCGGAAAATTGTTATAAAAATCAGTTAGAATAAGATTATGATCAATAAAATTATTTTTTTGAAATATAAGTTATTCATACCTTAAAAAGTTGTGAGTGACATTTGTGACCAGCAGCATCCATCGCCATCTACAGCACCTGCATTCAAATGGCGCTACTTGTTGCCAACACGTTTTTTCTTTGAAGGAAATTTATTTCTGTCTCCAGTTATTTTTTTACGAAAATCTTTCTAGTAACGCGTTTTCTGTTGAAAAAACTGGGTTTGTCCTTGGTTGTTTCAACTGAACTAGTTAAAACTAAAAAAATTTTGTAATTGATGTTGGTGTTAATGTGTTGCTATAGGATGATTGATAGGATTGACTGAAGAAGACACAGAAATGATAAGGAAGAATTAATGCTTCGTGTGTTTAATTTTATCTCCAGTATTTCTTTTGTGGTTGTTCATTATATATCAACATGCTTTGAGTTGATCTCATATTTAAGGTGTGACGTGTTTTATTGTTTTCGTTTCACGATGTTGATGACGTTTGTCCATCGTGAAAATTAATTTTTTTAATTTTGTGGAGCTAAATTTTTAAAAATTTCCATTATTTTGGAATTGATTGCCTTGTTTACAAACGCTAAAATTATAACAATTCTTTTATATTGAACAGAGAACAACAAAACAAAAAATATCCATCATTTAAAATGCATTGAAATTTTTTCAAACAATTCAACCCATCTGAATATAGATAAGCTCAATGAATATGCAAACATATTCAAACACACACAAACACACACACTCACAAAATACACAAATACAGAATACACAAAAAATACACAAACACTCCTTCATCCACGAAAATGTTTACAACAACACGCGCCATTCCAACGCAGGTTCAGAAACCATCACACTGCTCTACAGAGAATCCGACAAAGATGACGTAATCGCCGCCATCAATATGACGTCACTGTCACAACCACCTTCTTCATCATCGTCATTTTTTATATCATCATCGTCATCATCCTCCTCATCATCAACCGTGATGCCTTTCAAAGTTGTGGACAGATTGATAGCTGACGAGGAAGTGGACAGCAGGGCAAACATGAAGAAGGGGATGATCAGACGCAAGTTGAAGCTATCCGCGCAAAACAACAACAACAACAACAATAACATCAACAACGTTAGCAATAACAGACCAAGATCCAAAAACAAATCAAAAAACAACAAAATAATGCTGGCAACCAACGCGAACAACCAAAACATCAGTCCCAAGAAAATACAGTTAGCCTTCCTGGGTTCAAATACATGCGGCTCCATTTTGGTCGTCAGATTGTTCTACATCGTATGTCCCAGAGTCACCTTAAATTTTGCCTTATTGCCTCAAACGGAAGCTGGTGAAGATGACGTCATTGTAAGTAGTTTTGTCTTTTATGTTTTAAATAGGAATTGATATTATACAAATGATTCATTTGTTATGTTTATTTTTGCGTACTTTTTATAATTCATCATTCAAACAATTTGTTTGTTGTTGTTTTCACTGGATTGAAACTCTTGCCGTCAGAACTTTAATTACCATAACCGCATCGAGCCTATCATTATGACATCATTATGACATCATTATGTTATGACATCACACAGGTTCGAGGAAACTGCGTATCTAACTCCATCGCCATGGAAACATCCCCATCATCGTCGTCGTCGTCATCCATATCACCTTCATCGCCATCGTCATCGTCAAAAACGGCGGAGGTGGTTGTGGCCGCGTGTCAAGCTGATGGAACGTGGAGGCACGTCAGTGGTTTGTGCGCCTGTGTTCCTGGGTTTTTCCCCAATAACAAAAATAAAAATAACAGCAATAACAACGATAACAACAATAATAACAATAATAATAAAGCTATTAAAAACAAAAATGATAACAATAATCATAATAACAACCCACCCAAACATCCGACGTTTCTCGACAATCACAATTTCGAATTTGGATTTGGTGATGATGAGGACGATGATAACAATAATAATAATAATAATGACGATGATGACGACGACGACGAAGCTCTCAGAGATGAAGAAATGAAAGAAGATAAAAAACCGTCATCGTCCTCGTCGTTTCCACCATCAAATTCTCTTCTTTTGGTTGACACGTCGTCTTCTGCGCAATGTGTCGGTAGGTGTCACTTTGAGGTTTCAGTTTTGTGTGTGTGTGTGTGTGTGCGTGTGTAAAATTTATGGTGGCAATTTTTGTACTTTTTCTAAATATTGTATGAAAACCACAGTAATATGCACGTTATCATAAAATACTTTGTTCTGCAGACCATCAATTTAAATGAATTTCATTCACCTGGATAGAATGAATTTAAGAATTAGTGGCATGAAGAAATGGATGAAAGACGCACATTTAATACAAAATTCACAGCACTAGCAACCACACAACAACATTACCATAAGCAAAACCATGTAAACTAAATATGGAAAACCACGAATTAACACAGAAATAATAACAAGAGGAACACAAACAACAGTAAATTTGATCAACTCAAAAATTGAACTGAGACATATCAACTTCAAAGCCTACTCAACACTAACAATTACATCAGACATTAACAATAACACCTAACATAAACAACATACACAGAAACAAAAACAAAATATGCAACATCAACAACAACAACAAAACGTGCAACAACAACAGCAACAACAAAATATGCAACAACAACAGCAGCAAAGCGGCAACATCATGATCAACAACTCCTGACATTCTTCTTACAAAAGGCAACAACTCTTTATTGCCGTTTCGTCATAAAGATGGTCGACCCGACAAACCAAAGACACTATATTAATACCTTCTATTTCCGCTTCTCTTTAGTCCGCCGTGCTGTCTGACGTTATATTTGTGGCGTCCAATGATAAGTGAGATCGTTGATCACGTGTTGCCTCTTGGATATATTTCTGCTTGAGGCCATTAAACTTATTTGTAGTCAGAAATGGATTTATAAATTTCAATTTCCTGGAAGCATAAATATGCCTGGATCCTGTTATACGTTTCCTGTGAATGTTCGGATAGATGTAAGACCAAATAAACATTCAAATATGTAAATAAATAAAATAATTTCAAAAAATAAATTTTTATTAAGTATAAAATCATTTCGAAGATTTATCTACATAATAATTTTCTAAATTTAACACATTTCAATAAATGCACGGCAACTCAAGCAGGCATCTTTCATTAACAACAGTAATGGAAGCACATCTACAGCATTAAACATGTTATTTCGGGTGCCTACTACAACAATGGATTCCTGGCAAACGTTGAATAAATTACCTGTAAAAATAGCATTCCAGATCAACTCCACAAATATGCAAGTACTGATACACTCATGTGTACATACTTATACAGATTCTCACATACTTTTTCATTAACTTATACAATTGTACGTACATTAATATGTAGTAGCAGAGTGAAGGCAGACGTATAGAATAGAAGCATTCATATTTATAGGCATGCATGCGTCTAAATATGTCCATCTGTATTGTTTCATATGATGTATTGCATCATAAAGAATTGTCTTTACACTTATGTATGCATGAAACGATGTGTTCCTTCATTCTGCAGTACACCAAATGTTTATATTTATGTTTGGGCCGTTCTAAACATACAGCCAAATGATGTGGGTAGGCAATAAAACATTTTAACAATGCTTAATTTATGAAAATGTGTACAAACTTCCTCTATATTTATTATTGTTGTTTCGAAGTAGTTTCTTTGCATCTTAATGTTTTTGAGGTGTTTGTTTATATATTGAAGTGGTTATGTACGTGTGAAGGAGATTTTATGCGTGTGAACAGCAGTTTGAACGTGTGAGTCCATACATACGTACGTACGTACGTCGTGTGACTGTGAGTGCCTTGTTTACAATCATAAACTACCCTACATAGCAGGGTGGTTTATGATTGTAAACATTTGTTTATTCTGTTTAAAAATTCCTTATAACTGTGAAGAAATGTTTATGCAAGTCAACAGAATAAATAGTGGCTTTCCTTTTCTTGCCCTGCTCCGTTGCATCATTCGTACAATCATTTATCTAGGCGCTCGTAACTTCTTTTAGCGTTTAACGTTGGCATTTATATATGTGTGTGTGTATGCGTGCGTATGCAAGCATGTGCGTGTATGTATGTGTGGTGTGTGTTATTGCAACGTGTAGTGTTTTCTGCTTTGAGTGTTGTTTAGTTTTTTTTCCTCGCTTAGTTTTTCTTTTCAATGGAGTTGCGACAGCAGTAACATTGCTCTAAATAAATATTAGTGCTTGCTGCATGATATGCTGTTGGTGCTGCATTGATGCCAATTTTCCATCGGCGCTCACAATTAATTTTATAAGCATTAAAAAATTTTTTATTAAAAACCGATGAGCAAAAATGGTATGAAATTTGTTTAGGAATGCAAATTTTGTATAAATAAAACAAGCTGCAGTTGTATTAGTAGTAATAGTAGTAGCAGAAACAGCAGTGGTAGCAGTTGCAACAGTAATACTACTAGTAATAGTGGTGCTGATGGTATTATTATTATTAGTAGTAGTAGTAGTAGTAGCAGCAGTAGTAGTAGAAGTAGCAGTAGCAATAGTAACAGTAGTAGTACTCAGGAGTTTTTGTAATTGTTGCTACCGTCATTTTCTGCTTTTGTTTTATAGTAACGGTCAGACGCGGTTCCAATTGTTTTATGATTTGCTGCCTGTGTTGCCGCATGTTTTATTATTTTGCAGAATGCCATGTGGCTCGGTGTACTGGTTTTAATACTATTAGCAGCATCAGTAACGCTGGTATAAATGGTAATTGCTTTTGTAGTAGTACAGTAGTATTAGAGTCACAAGTCTGAATAATATTTTGAGTACCAGTCTAAAAATTTGCCGAACGTGTTGAAGTCTCAGGTTACGTTTTGTTATTTTCAATAGTACTCTCATACAGCAACTACTGCTAAATATTACTAAATTTAATTACATTCTTTTAGTATTTTTGTAAAATAGGAGGCAATGGCAGCTGAAACACAGTGAATAAGAATAGTTTATATCAATTAGAGTAGCTTAAACAGAAACATTCGTATGTGACAATTTTTTAAAAATGCCTAAAATTATAAAGAAAAAAATAATTATATATAAATGTATAAAAGATAATAAAGAAGATGGTTGCAGAAAGAAGTGAACAATGACAAAAGAAGAAACTGAAAGCGTCAGAGTTAAAGAAGATATATAATTGCAGGAGTGAGAAAAAAATAAAAGAGGAGGAACAAATATGCTGACGTCATTCAATCGACGTATCATCATTCACCATTAGTTTTTGTGGACATTTCACTGCCCTCGTTATCATTTTGTTGTTGTCTTCAACCTTTTCGTTGTCATCATCTTCATCTTTCTCTACATCATTACCTTGATCATTATCTGCTTCTTCATAATCGTTGTTACTTCATCATCATCATCTCCGGCATCTTTTCATCGTCTTCATCATCATCTTCATCGTTTTCATCATTATCGTCATCATTTTCATCATCATCTATTTTTTCATCATTTGGACCACCATCATTTTCATCGTAAAACCACTGCAGTTGCTTTATATGTATCTCTAGTGATATCATATCATTCATTATCATTATTTTTAACATCATCATGATGGCCAGTCATTATCATTGTTTACAAACATTAACGTTATTAAAAAATTTTTCTCGTTATTTTTGAATTTTTACTTTTCCTCTTATTTTCTTTTTTCTCTCTTTTTTTCTCTCTCTTTTTGGCAAAACACTTTGTCTCGTTTGTTTCCCCTCCCCCCTCTCTCTCTCCTCTTTCTCTCCTCTCTCTCTCCTCACTCTCTCTCCACTCTCTCTCTCCTCTCTCTCTCTCCTCTCCTTTCTCTGTATTTTTTTCAGTTTCCTTCTTCATCTCTCCATCTCTCGTCATCATACGGCGTGTATGCTCCTCACCATTTGGCATGTATGTTAATTAATGAGGGCCATCATTTATCTTCCTCTAAATCTATTTTTAACTTTCCGTCAATCCAACAATCATAAATAAGGATTTCGCGGGCTTATTAACTGGTCAGCCATTTGTCTATTTTTCCCTCTTTTCCTCTGCGGCTGATGATACGATGATGACGTTATAGCTGTCGATGGCTTTTCCGTTTCCGGTTATCGGGAAAAATGAATGAATGGATGCGCAACGAGAAATTATCAGCAGAACGGAAACATTAGGCGCCCGGTTTGGCGGTTCGCAGATGCGTGCTGCAAAAATATCTCATTTGTTTAATTTCGTTCGTTTTATTTTCATTTTAAAAGTTTTGTTTAAAATATTTGCTCTTTTTTGTCACTGTCGTCGTTGTTGTTTATGTTGTTGTTGCTGCTGTTGTTGTTGTTGTAGATTTTGTTTCCAACAAACATTAGTACCTGCATTGAGTTATAAATGGAAATCAGTAAAAAGTTTTTCTTAGGTTTTTATAATGAAAAAAAAATGTTCACTGGTAAAACATTTATTTTATTTCATTGTTATAAAAGTCGTCATCAACTTCTCACGATCAACATGTTCATCAGCATTTTTGCCATAATCATCATCACATCTAGCTACATTTGAAAAATTATGAAATCTTTCGAAAGTTTAAACAAAAATTTTTGCTAAAATTATTACTGAAATGTCTGCAACTTATTTCTTTACTAATCACAATTAAAATCTTGCTTTCAAACCCAGTTGGGCGTCAGCATCATGGTTTGCAAACAGTTCACAGCAACAAGATGGTTAAAGCGCTTAGTACTGCTGTTGCATTAAGTGGCATCAAATTCAAAGAGCTCTCTGCCTTTGCGTGCTTTTTAGATTATATTCAGAATTGTTGATAAATTATATTTATTAAGATTTTTTAAAAATTGATAATAATTAAAAAAAATTGTCGGGTAAACATAACATCATCACGTCAATCAATCATATTATCACGTCAACCAATCACATCATCACATCACATCTTATTATCACATCATGACAGAATGCCCTCCGCAAACTTACAAGCCACATTTCGGTGCGAGTGACTGCCTTCCATGCCCGAGAAACAGCGAGGCTGAAGGTTGGGGTGCCAGCGAGTGCACCTGCCAGTTGGGGTACTTCAGGGCCATCCACGAAGGAGTCAATACCCCCTGTACAGGTCTGTGTGGTTGATTGGTTGATGATGATGATAAGGATGATGATGGTGACGTAAATTTAGTTGGCGCATTGCTTGTGTGGTTATTGTGATGGAGGTGATGATGAAAGAGATAATGAACACACACATAAGATAATGATGAAAAGGGGGATAATATTATTGGTGCATAATTATGGTGATAATAATACTTACAATAACGACGATGATGATGTTGAAGACGATGACGATGATGACGTTGTCTAAGTTGTTGGAGTGGATAACGCTGTCACTGTAACAGAGGTTTTTGCTGACAGGCTTTAGACGTTTCATGTAAAATAAGCAATTACTTAAATGACGGCAAAAATACGTTAAGAAAAACAACAAAACAATAAGGTAAACACAAAAACAAACAAATTCATCAATCATAAACAACAAAACAAAACATAAACAAAACGTGAACAAACAAAACAACATAAAACATTAGCAACCATGAACAACATTAAAACGTGAACAACAACAAAACAACAAGAACAAAAACATAAACGACAACAAATCCTAAACAAAAAAAAACATAAACGCAGATGCAAACATAAAAAAAACTTTACATCGTAAACTACGTAACATAACAGGAAGAAGGCAGCGTACGATCGATACAAAAAATGCATTTACAATATTAATATCGGCTTTTCTAATTTGTTGCAATTTATCTGGGGCTATTTTTGTTTTAAATCATTATTTGTTTTTCGTTCGCGTTCATTTTTTTTTGATTATCTTACCGAAATATTTTTTTACATTTTGTACTTCTTTATAAAGTTTGGCTTTTTTGTCTATATAATACAAGTGGCTGTTTATTAGGTGGGTTCGATTGTTAGTATGTGTACAAGTAACATAAATGCTTCATATAAGTACAATCGCGTTACTGGGATGAATGAAAGATGGAGAGGATGTACAACAAACGAAGTGAAGGAAAGAAATGTCGGAAGAATAATAATAATAATAATAATAAGTGAACAATAAGAATAATAAAAAAATAATAAGAAAGGCCTATTTCGCTTCTGTCAAAGCATTGGATTCGTTGTCAGTTTCGGGAATGAGTTTTGATTGATATGACATACATCAAACAAACAAAGAACATGAATACTAGAAAAAAGAAAAGTAATAATACAAATAAAAACGTTAATAATAATAATAAGGATAATAATAATAATAATAATAATATGAAATGTTATAAAAATCATTTTTTAAAATAATGCGTAAAAAAAAAGTTTGAATGTATATTGATGAGTTTTACGCGGTGAGTGAGTGCGGGTGCATGCAAAATGAAGCTTCCGATACTAGAGTGTGTATGGATCTGTGGCATGAAAAGTTGGTTGCTTCTTGCATTATTCACGTCTGTCTTTTTTCGTTCATTTTTTTTCGCGTTTAAACAAAAATTTACTTATTTTCATCTACGCTCTTATAGATGCAAAAATGTATTTACTGCAAAAAAAGTAGTTGTAGTAGTAGTAGTAGTGATAACAATAGAGCAGTAGCAGTAGTAGCAGCAGTAGTAGTAATAGTAGTAGAGCATTTGTAGTAGTAGTAGCAATAGTAGTAGTAGTAGTAGATGTAGTAGTAGTAGTATTATTAGTAGTTGGTAGTAGTAGTTTTATTTTGATATGTAGCGCCGTAACATGAAAAATGCCCAGATGTTGATGTAAGATAGAAAATTAATTAAAAGTTTTGTGTCACGCAGGCCAATATTGCAACAAAAAAGGCAGATAAAAACAAACTTACAACCATATAAACATGTTTGCTCACCGAAAAAATCTATTTATATTAATTCAAAAATTACAACATGTCGTCAAGTTAACTAAAATCCATTCGAATCAGTAAAAGTTAAAAGTATTGCGATATATTTTGTTGATAAAACACGTGGAATCATTTGAATATTCAACCAAAATAATACCACAAAATTAAAGACTAAATCATAAAAGTACAATAACAATCACAGTATTTTTTAATGTCAGAAATGCAAACATAAGTTTACCGCGAACACAAGCAAACATATGGACGAACAGTAAAACAGTAAAAAACATAAAAACTCAAACAGAAATAACATAAAATCACACGTATTTGTTTACGCACACAATTTGATTCGCGCACAAACCCACACACGCATGCCAAAATTCATGCACTCATACATGCCTCTCTAATTAATTAAACACACACACGCACGCACACGCACGCACACAAATTGTTGTGCAAATTGATTGAATGAAAAGAAGAAAAAAAATTGAAATTAAAAATTTTAATTAAAACAATTCTTTCTTTCGTCTGATCACGTTAGCCAGCCAAAAAATATTTTTTGACTAACTTTTGTTCGTGTTACATGATTGGTTGGAAGTTATCATGACGTCATTTTCTATGCTATTATAGCATGTATGACATCAATTTTAATGATAGAAAATTTGAAAATAAGTGATAAGAAATTGAACCTTTTTTTAAATCATTTTTTTTTCTACCCAACGAATCAAAAACCCTCACTAATAATTTAACTTTCATCCTTATCTTCTCGTCACCGGAAGTTTCATCATTTGGTTTGCTACATCATTATCATCATCACTATCATCATCATTATCATTAATACTATCATTATCATCACCATCATCACCACCATCATCATCATGATCATCATCATCGACAGAGCCACCGACGAGTGTCCAGAACGTCACCATTCACAACCTCACCCATTTTGACGTATGGATAGATTGGCGGCCACCGGCGTTCAGCGGTGGACGTTACGACGTGTACTACTTTGTGGAGTGTCTGCAGTGTGGCTCCGAGGTAGAGTTTGTCCCCGATGCTGTCATCTACAACAACACCTGGTTCGTTCCTTCGTTAGCTAATGTGGCTACTTCTTTCTCTTTATCGAGTCATTTAGTTGGTTTATTAGCATTTGCCTATACTCTTTTGCTTTTATCTTTTAATAGTTTTCTGCTGATGAGTGAATTTTCTTCTTAATTTTTCTACTGATTTGTTCATTTCATCAGCATTCCTTGATTTTTAACGATTCGTCATTCATTCGTTCTTTCATTCACTCAATTTCTTTATCATAATTTTGTTTTAAAGCCCAGCTGCTTTTTTAGCAAAACATGTTTTTTTTTGCTAAATAAATTGCTCCAGCTATTTCAGTGATTTCTAAACAAATTTTTTCTCCTTGCTTCTTGTAAAAAATTTCTCTCTCTCTCTCTCTCTCTCTCTCTCTCTCTCTCTCTCTCCCTCTGTCCAAATACATATTGATAATATGAGCTCAATTCATTCAATATTTTCTATTCATATCTGTCTCTCATATATATTTTAATTAAAAAGTTTTGATAGCGCTATTCCATTTATTTGGCCGCCATATTTATTTTTATTCATCCACCGATAGCAAATCATTCGTTCTAACATTTTTTTAGTATATACTATCTATCTATTCAATAATCATTCTATTTCATACCCTATTCAATATAATAATATTTTTTATTCATTAATTTAATAACCATTCGTTCATAGTTTAATTCATTCATATATTTATTCATTCATTTATTCATTCATTCATTCATTCATTCAATCATTCATTCATTCAATCAATCAATCATTCATTTTTTATCTCTTTCTTTTATTCATTCATTTATTCAACCTCTTATAGAATGATTAATTTGTTGGAACATTTTTTCATGCTTCTATTTGTTCATTTTTTTTTCATTTGTTTCTAGCGTGTTCGTCATTGTCTACTTCCTATTTTATTTTCACATATTACTTCTTTTAATTATGTATTATTTGTTTGAAGATTTAGTTAATCATTTTTCCATTTATATCAATTTTTTTATTTATTTGCTCATTCATTCATTTGTTCGTTCGTTCGTTCATTAATTCATTAATTCATTCATTCATTCATTCATTCATTCATTCATTCACTCATTCATTCATTCATTCAGGGTCATTTTAAGAAATCTCACTCCTGAAACCTCGTATACCGTCATCATTCATTCACGGAATGGTGTGAGTGAACTAGCAAAACAACAACAACAACATCAACAACAAAGACAACAACAACATCAGCAACAACAAATGTTAATGACTAACATAACATTTGTTACAAGACCGAGACCTGGTTCGTCTTATTTATTGTTCCTATTTCTACCAGCTATTTCTCTTTCTTGCTATTTTTAACAATAGTTTTTCCAAGTTTTTATTAGTTTTTTTTATCTTTTTTCTTTAACTTTTCCATCTCTGTCTGTTTCTTCTATGCCATTCTCTCTTTCTGTAATTATTTTTCTCTCTCTTTCTCTCTCTCCTCTCTCTTTCACTCTCTCTTTCTTTTCTCTTTCATATTTCTTTTTGGTTATTGTGCATTTTTTAGCCAAATAGGATATTTATTCAGCTGTTCAGTCACATTTTTTTAATATTTCATAGGCGCTTCATCATCGTCATCATCGTCAGCGTCATCGTCGTCGTCGTCATCACCTTTCCCAAATCATCCTCTCCAAGTGTTGGATAGAGGGATGGATTATTTGAATTTAGTTTGGAATCCTACGTCACTTCCCTCATTGCCGTCATCATCGTCTTCATCATCCTCATCATCATCTCCATCATCGTCTTCATCATCCTCATCATCATCTCCATCATCGTCTTCATCATCCTCATCATCATCTCCATCATCGTCTTCATCATCCTCATCATCGTCTCCATCATCGTCTTGGTCGTCATCATTGGATGTCAATAAAAAAAGCAATAACGATGTTGTATACGAGGTATCCTGGACTAAATATGAAAACGAACTCTTATCATCATCATCGTCGTCGTCATCGTCGTCGTCATCACCGGCGTCTTCGCCAACTAATCATCACCATCATCACCAACATCACACTCACCAAGTTAACGTTACAGTGACTAACTCTCCACAAATCATCATCAATAATCTCGAGCCAGGATGCAAATATGCAATTAAAGTGAGTGAAGATGATGATGATGACGGTATGATGATGATGTTGACAAGGACGCTATTGATGATGATGACCGATGATGGGGATAATGATGATGAAAACAAGTGATGATGGTGATGATGATGTCAATGATGATGATGATGGTGGCATGATAAGATGATAGTGATGAAAACAATAAGAATGTGAAAGAAAGAGAAAGAGAGAGGAAGAAGAAGATAGAGAGAGAGAAAGAGAGAGAGAGAGAGAGAGAGAGGAATGAAAAAGGTGAAAAAGTATGTTAACGTTTATTTGAATCAAGTTACCCATTAAAAACATAAATATAACATGAAAAAAAGATTTTTGACATACAAACACAAGGCCGTGACACGCGCAAATAAACGCGTACGTATCGCATGTAAAATACATACAATACAATACAAGTAAGATACATCGACACACAAACACCCAACAAATTTAGCAGTTTTCTTTAAGGATAGCTGGCAAAACAGCGGGGCTTTGTTTATTGGTATGAATAGAGGACATGGCAGAGGTATTGCTTGCCTATGCGTGTCGGTATGTAAGGTACTCTATCTGTATCGGTTACATCAACAACATCAACTATCGCATCAACAATAACAATTACAACGTAATTCGTACACGTTCTACAAAAATGTACACAAAAAATAGATTTTTAAACTGTTACTTACTTACTGAATAATGAAATCAAAATAATGTGAATAAAATGATGTTTGAATCAAATTTTGTTGGAAAACTGTGTGGTAGTAATCAAGTTTCAACAATTTTTTAACAAAATAATTATATTAATTGAATGGTGTGTGTATGCAAACCTTGGTGCTTTCCGATAATTTCGAAGGTTTGTTAGTATCAGAATAAAACAATAGCCCGACCACATATTTTCCCCTGTGTGAAGCTATTTATTTTTTTTATCTTATATCTAATCATTAATCTATCCATCGCCCGATTTACTCATTAATCTATTTATTCATCCACCATACATTCATTCAATCATTCATTTATTCATTCATTCATTCGTTTATTCGCTCATTCATTCATTCATTCATTCGATCTTCCATCCCTTCATCCATCAACCTATCAATTTAGTCAACCATTCATTTATAGATCTATCATTTTTTTTCTACTACTCTTGCTTTTTTTTATTTTTAGCTTTTTATTATTATTTTGATTATTTTCTTTCGGTATTTGATTTTTTAATTTTTAAAATTTCATCTTCAACTCTTAACTTTTCATTTTTTAGCCAAAATTTTCTTTAATCATATACATTCATTCATTCATCTACCCGTCTATCCGTCTATCCATCCATCCATTCATTCATCTATTCATTCAATCGTGCATTTATTCATTCATTCATTCGCACAAGTTCAAAGAGTGGAAAAATTGAAATTCAAAAATAATCGAATGAAATTTTAATTAAATTAAAATATAAAGTTCGCTGCATCGAATGGTTTAAAAATTCTATGCTATTCATTTCTCAGTGTATGTCTGCGTCTGTTTGTTCTTTTAATGTTTATGTATTTTCGTGAACTTACTAGTAAATGTATGCCAATGTGGTGCTATGTTTTGGTTGAGCAACTTTACACACATTAAAATTCTTAATTTCCAAAGTTTGTAAATAATAATTTTCAAATTTGGCCAATAGGCGATCAAAAGGTGCAACGATGAAGTATCAATACATGCATATGTTTGTGTGGGGTTATTATGTACGTCAAGTTTAATGTTTGCAATGTTAATTATATTCATTTGCGTGTTGGATGTGTGTTAACATCTTTTCACTCCACAAATAGCTACAAGTTTTAATCTATGTATTTACGTATGTATTTATCAGAACGCCCATTTCACTAACTCATGAGTTGCATGGGTGTATATATACTTACTTTTACGACAAGTCGTTAGCCTGTCCAGAAGGTGGGAGTGGAAGTGGAAGTGCCACGTGCATGTCTCATATAATCGTTTCACTTTTCACTCCGATCTTATCCAAATGATGTCATTTGTTGAAAATTATTAGATGCCAGGATGCATGCTTGTGCAAACTTCCAACGCTGATGGTTTCCCCAGGTGTGGATGGTACAGCCTTTAAAGCCCAAGCGTTCAGTCTGCAAGTAAGTAAGAAAGAAGGTGTGAGCAGCTCTGAGTTTGTCTAAGTTGCCCGATGCGCTGCAAATGTATGTGTAATGAAATCAACGTATTGCTATGTTATCAGTGTTATGTTATCACTGTTGTTATGTTATCAGTGTTATGTTAGGCCATGTTTTTTTCTGCACGTATCAATTTGGGTTAATTGGTAAAAGTCTAACTTTTGCATACTTCACACAAGAGTCTAACTGAACATAATTCACATTTTTCCATTGACATTTCAAGGAGGAATGCCAGTTGTTAAATAATAATTATTCACGCCTGCGTTAGCACATACACCGACAAAAACAAAGCTAGTGAATTTACGATACACATTGAATATTTATGATATAAACATAACAGGGATGTACGTGCAGATGCAACAAAACAAAACATCCAGAAAGTAGCTGGCATGCACATAAAGTACACACTTACGTACTTTTCAGAACGTCTCAACCACACTAGGTCTGCGTGAGTACGCGCGTACTAAGAAACGAACGATCTTCATTCATATTTTATGCGCAGGCATAAATATGCAACAGTGTCTCCGGTGCGAATGAAAAACTCGAGTGTGTGTTACTGATAGCGCCTTGCACGCACGCACTCCATTGAACTGTACAAACGACCACACACAAAACGATTCATCCATGTTTAAAAACACTCTCCTCCATTAATATTTTGTCATCTTTTGTTTGTTGTTTTTCAATGTATTAATTTTCAAACGTTTTTCAAAAATGGAGTTCACGTTAACCGATATCGAACTGTGTTAATGGATACCATTCAAAACAAAAATCATCATGTACGTCTCTATTTTTATTTGCGTTCGTTCGTTCGTTAGTGCACGTTGCACGTACACGTACAAAAACACACGCAACCCCTCATACAGGTGTGAATACACAGCCAGACACAAATACCAGTACCTACACAAACACAAGTGCCTACACAAGCACACGCACCATCTTACACGTACGTAGAAGAATGAAAGCATTTAGGGTCGCAAAATAATGGCCGTGAAGGGTGCATTAAAACCCTTTAAATCAAAACATAAAACAAGAAAAGCGTGTAATAAGAGCATAAAAAATCAGAGCAAACAAAAAGTAAGTGAGGCGAAACACAAAGGACGCATGCATTTTGGCTGGCCGGCCGGTCATCACGTGAATGCATGCATGCATGCATGCATTCACGCTCATTTGATCAGACATGCATCTATGCATCGTGTGTTCACATAAATAATCACGCATACAAACATGTAGTAAGTCAAAAATATAAGCGCATTGGTGGATGCAATGGTGATGGTCGTAGTGGAATGCCTCCCTCGTTGGGCATGGAACCTTGCAGACTCTCCATACAAAGACGGTTGAATAAATTTCGGCAATTTTTATTTGCTTTTTCAGTTTTTAACTATTACTAAAATTATCGTAGAATACACACTTAGCAAAAATCTAAAAATCTATAGAGAGAGAAAAAGAAAAAAAAGAAAAAAAAAGAAAGAGAAAGAGAAAAGAAAAAAAAGAGAAAGAGAAAGAGGAATAAAGACAATTATTTAAAAAAACCATGAATCATTGATGGGCTGTCCTAATTTTAGAAGACTGCGGAAGATCAACATACAACAACCACCATCAACCACAAACAACTACCATCGACCACAAACAACTACCATCGACCACAAACAACCACAATCGACCACAAACAACCACCATCAACTGCCAACTACCACCTTTAACAGCCATAACCAACCACCACCAACAAATGTCACAAACATATATTGGTATTAGCATTCAAAAAATTTTAATTAAGTAATTACCAATGTTAATCTCTATCAATAACTCTAAAATAACACCTCTATGCATGTTTTTACGTTATAACTATAAGATCTTAACATTGCATAAAAAGGCAAGATAGAGTTTGTACGAGTTTATCAAAAAAGTGTGTGTGTGTGTGTATATGTGTGTGTGTGTGTGCGGTGTAAAAATCTATCCTAGGTCAAATCTGTTTAAGTATTTTAAGTTGAACAATCAAACTCAAATGTATCCATTTCACATGTTGTTTGCATGCAGTGTAATGTTATACGCGAATGACGAAATTATGCAAGCTTTGCATCTTTTGTTAAAACTAAATTGACTCAACGTTTTACCAATGAAAATTGTTCATATTGAATTCTTCTAACACAAGTCTATCTGGAGTTTGAGAAACGAAAACTTGGTAACCATTTAAAATTATATTTATTCATAGTTACTGATGAAGAGATTTGCCTATCAGTACGTACATTTCATAAAATATTATTTAATTTCATAGCATCTGAATACATCGCAAGGAATAAGCCATCAATCATTAGATACCTAAACACTTAACAATGAAAAAAATGTTCTCTGCGTTGTTATCCACAGAAAATCAGGTGCAAAACTTGCCGGTAAAAAAAATGCACTCAATCATTCAATCACTCATTCTTACACTTCCTTGAATCGATCAGATAGCAAAAACACCACAACGAAACAAAACATCCAGTTCTTTATAGGGTGAAACATACATACAGTTCACACAAACAAAACATATTTAGAGACATACAGACAATACACAATACACACACAGACACACACGTAAAAAGACAGTAAAGAAGAGAGAGAGAAAGAGAGGAGGAGGGAGAGTGAAAGAGAGCAGACCTGTCAATCAAAGTCGTATCATTAAATATTTTGGGTCAGTCACCTTTCCTACTCACCTTCCTCTCTCTGCTTATAATAACTCATCTGCATAGTTACCTAGCGACCTCCCACCTCTAATTTACGACTTTTGGCTTCTATTTATAACTTATCTCTCTAATGTTTACGATTTCTCGCATTTCATTTCTTCTCTCAAATCTTATCCGCATATTTTCATTGATTTCATGCGTTTGTAGAGTGTGTGTGTTTTTGTGTGTGCGTGCGTGTTTGTGTGTGTGTGCGTGCGTGTGTGTTTGTGTGTGTGCGTGTGTGTGTGTGTGACTGCGCGCGTGTGTATATTATTTATATTTAATGTTTACAATTTATCATTTCAACTATTTATAAATATACGACGTTTAATGATAGATGTAAATCTGTCTATAGGCTACATATCTACCTGAGTATAATTTGTGTATGTATAATTTTTATACACACAAATACACATACAAACACACACATACAGACAGCACACACAAATACACATACATACACACATTGACACAGATATACACACATTCACACATATAAACACACATATATACATACACGCAGATACAAACACACACACACACTCACACACACACTCACACACACACACACACATATATATATATATATATATATATACGTATAACTTGTATTATTATTTAACAGGTCCGAAAGCGACTGGATGGTAGATTGGGGGAGTACACGAAAGAACTAATCATAGCAACTTACTCACGCGGTGATTATAATGATGGTAGTGGTGATGATGGTGATTATGGTAATGATGATGGTGATTATGGTAATGATGATGGTGATTTTAATGACTACGATGATGATGATGGTGATGATGATGACGACGACGACGATGGTGACGATGATGATGATGATGATAATGATGATATATATGTACGTACATCTTGCGGATGAATGTTTGTTATGCTGATGACGATCAGTGATGACGTCGTTGATGATGTCATAATGATATTAATCGTAATATTATTCATAATAATTGAAATGAGTAAAAATTAAGATTCCCAATTTTTATTTTGCATGCTCATGCTTGTATTACATTTTTTCATCAAATAAGATGAGTTTTTTTGGTTTATTTTGTTGGTCTTGCTGGTCTTTTTGGTTTTTTTTCATATCCACACATCTACACATACCTAAACATTTCATAATTGCTCTACATCAGGGGTGGGCAAACTTTTTGCTGTGAGGGCCGCATTGAGAACTATTTTACCTTTGAAGGGCCGCATATGTACTTAGATAGCAAATTTTTTCGACTCAGGGGTAAATTTTTTAAGATTTGTGGCTTTTTTTTGGTCATAATGTCTGGCTGGCGATCTTTTTTTGGCGAACAAGACCTCGCTGGCCGCATGAAATAGCATTCTGTCCGCGGACCTTAGTTTGTCCACCCTGCTATAGGTACACGTACATCCATTTAACTACTCATTACTTTCCAGAAACCAGTTACATTTTCTTATTACATACACATTACACACGCATTACATACTCAATTACATACTCAATACATACATACTCAATTACATTTTCTTTTTTCAAGTTTTTCGTTCGGATTTTTTATCCATTTTTCCACCAATTCTTATTCACTTTTCAACCCACTTTTATCCTTTTTTGTATCCACTTTCATCCACTTTCATTCATTTTCATCCCTGCATTCATTCTTACGTTATAACACATTAGCACCCGAGCTAATTGACGAACGATCGTCTGATAACACGTTCAGCTAGGCTGTAAATTAATTAATTATGTCTTCCTTTCTCTCTCTCTCTCTCTCTCAATCAGTCGTTTTTCCTTTCATCTATTCTTTTTTTTGTTTATTCATTCTTTTATTCATTCTTTTATTCATTTGTTTAAGCATTCATTCAATTTTTTATTCATTCATTCGTTCCTTCATTAATTCATTCGTTCATTCGTTTGTTCATTCATTCATTCATTCATTCATTCATTCATTCATTCATTCATTCATTCATTCATTTATTTATTTATTCATACATTCATCCATTCATTCAAACATTCATTCATCTATAATTCATTCATTTATTTTTCCATTTATTTAACCTTCCGTTTGATCAACTCTAGTATAGTTGAATCAAATTTTCACTGTGTTATTTTTTTTATGTTAATTTATCATTTTATGCTTATAATTTATTTATTATTCATTTATTTTAATTTTTACATTTCTCAGAATTTTTATTTTTTTTCAATGTTTAATTAATGACCTACTATCACTTACTGCTTTGGAAATAATCATTCACTCTGGAAATCATTTTGTATTCATTCTCCAGCTAATTCAATCCGTTTATCAGTATAACCATTTAGAAATTTTCTGTTGATTTTTGCCTCTTTCCATCCATTTATTATTTATAAGAAAAATAATTAGGGTTGTATTTTGTTCATTTATTTATTTATTAATTCATTCATTTGTTTATTCATTCATTTACTCATTCTTTCGTTCGTTCATTTATTATTTCGTTCATAAATTCATTCAATCATTTATCTTTAGTTTTTTTACCCGATTTGTTTATACGGACTTAAAAATTACTTTTAATTTTGTTTTTAAGTTAATCCCTATTAAAACTGACCACAATGACCAACCAATCAGACGCGTTGATGCCAGCTGACCAAAAGTACGGTCTCGTTGCTGGTAGCCTGGCAGGGGTGGTGGTCATCATAGTCGTCATGATCACATTCGTCATCGTCTTCATCATCAGAAGGTTTGGTTTGTCTGTGCGTCTGTCTGTGTGTGTGTTTGTGTGAGTGTGTGTGTGTGTGTGTCTGTTTGTGTGTGTGTCTGTGCGTTAGATTATCTTTGTTTTCATTAATTTTGTTTTATGATATTTATTGCCATTTTTATTATTATTATTATTATCGTTATTATTATTATTATTATTGTATTAACTCCGATAGTTATCTGATGTTTATTGATGTTTTTATGGCTCCTCTGTACCCGTGGCAGCGTTAATTTTTTTAACTGCGCCAAGTCCAATACTACATCCGATAATAATAATAATAATAATAACAATAATGACGATGATGATGATAATTAGGATGACGAAGACGACGACGACGATGATGGTGGTGACAACGATGATAATGATGATGATGATAACGACGATGATGATGACGATGATTACGGTGACGATTATGATGATGAAATTAGCATCATTGATTTTCAACCGCAAGCAATGTTTCCTACAGTCAAACTACACTCGGCTCTCTCTTGAAATAATGCAACATGGTATGCTACCTACCTACCCACCTACCTACCTACCTACCCACCTACCTACCTACCTACCTGTTGTTATAATACTACGTTCGAGAGATGTATTTTCAATCATTTTGTGGTGAAGAGTGTTTGAAAAAATATTTAAAATTGTAAAATAGTATTAACAACTGTTAATAATTTTATTCAAATTTTAAATGAATTCAAAATTATAAACCTTTTTTGAGATATCTTTTAAATCAAGCTAAAAGTTGCAAACGTAATGATGGTTAGTTTTGTGTTGTTAGTTAAAAACAAATTTATAAATTAAAATATATATGTAAAGAATGTTTTAATGTGTAGTTACGTTTTGAATATTTAATTGATAATGACGTCATCCATATTCGAAGTTTGTGTGCAAGTGTGTATACATGATGGCGTTTGTGTATATATATATATATATATATATATATGATTGTTTATATGTAGTGTGCAAGATATGTGTATGTGCAGTGCACTGTGTCTCTGTTTGTGTGAAGAAAAATTCTCACGTGTGTGTTTATCGTTGTTTGTGGGCGTGTTCGTGTGTGTGTGTGTGTATGTGTGTGTGTGCACGTGTGTTGTGTGCGTGTGTATGTGTGCATGTGTGTTGTGTGCGTGTGTACTACAATATGTAAATGTGGATGTGTATAACAGATGCTAACAATCTCAAACCACGTATTGAATGATGACTGAGCTTTGATATCCATGAAGATGTGATGATGATGATGATGATGATGATGATGATGATGATGATGAATATCATGGCTATAATTTTTACATTAGCGATGATGATGAAATCAACCGTGGTAATTTCAATTATTAAAAGATTTTCGATAGAACATATAAGAACAATGCCAGAATAAACGATGATGGTGATGGTGACAGCAACGATGGTGATGGTGATGATGATGGTGATGGTGACAGCAACGATGGTGATGGTGATGATGATGGTGATGGTGACAGCAACGATGGTGATGGTGATGATGATGGTGATGGTGACAGCAACGATGGTGATGGTGATGATGATGGTGATGGTGACAGCAACGATGGTGATGGTTACGATAATGATGATAATTATGACTACTCCGATGATGACGATGACAATAATGAAGAAGATGAGGGCGATGATGATGATGGTGATGACGACGACGACGATGATGGTGATGATAACAAACGAGATAGGGTAGTGTTTACGCGAAAGTTTCTGCCGCAGGAATGAGAAGCTGACGATTGAGGTGATAAGAGAAGGTGATAGATGAGAAGGAATACCGATGACTACGATGATAATGATGATGATGGTGATAGTTACCATGATAATTTTGATGTTGATGATGATGGTGATGGCGATTATGATGAGATAATAACAAGGATGGTGAGTGAAATGATTGCGATAATGAAATGAGGAAGACAACGACGATGATGACGAAGTGATGATAGCGACGCCATAAGAAAAAATCTAGTTCATAAATGTAAATTATTATAGGCAGTTTCAGCATACGCAAGCAGCGTAAATTGACTACCTCTACGTAATCATTTCCTCAACCGTTAGTACCACATTTTAAATGCGTTTTTAACGTGCTAAGCTAGACAAGGCACTCAGACACGCACGCACACGCACGCACACACGCACGCGTACTCTCATGCGCACATGCATTCACAGGTCTAACAAGATAATAAAGAAACGTGCTTAGAAATAAATAACGTGTTGATTCGAACGAAACACACAAGAAAGTTTACTGTATGTGTAGCAGATCAGGACCAGCACACGAGACCAACTACCAACATCAACTTACGCGCAATGCAAACATTCTCATACAAATTTTCATAAATACACTCAGACATACACGGATATCATACTCACATACACACATACATACATACATACATACATACATACATACATACATACATACATACATACATACATACATACATACATACATACATACATACATACATACATACATACATACATACATACATACATACATACATACATACATACATACATACATACATAACCTAAAAATATTTTGCTTCCTCAATCCTCACCATCTTCACCATCTTCATCATCATCAGCAGCAGCAGCACGGCAAACACGCCAGCACATCCAATGTAAGATTAGACGTAGTTAAACAATGCAAGATGACATGAGTGCCGTGATTTCGTATTTGCGGGGTAACATGATCATGTTCTACGTCACGTACCATTTTTTACGCATCTCTGTGCACGTGTGTGTGTGCGCGTGTGTTATTGTGTGCGTGTGCACGTGGGTATATGTAAGTGTGCATGTGTATGAAATGCGGTTTATGAGTGTGTGTGTGTGTGTGTGTGCAGGCCTGTTGATGTTGTGCGTGTACTTACAAACGAGACTTTGCAAATGCTTGTATTTTTATGTACGCATTTTAATTGCCTACACGCTTACGTGCGAGAGTGTGCGTGCATAAATGCATGAATGCATGAATGCACAAACAAAGCTCGTGCACGTTTGTCGTTTTTAGTTTCATGTTAATTACGGCGATTGCTTGTTCTAGTACTTTGAAATGCGACATTAAGAATTCACAGATGACAAATTTTGTAACATCTCATTAGACTTGATGCGCGCCTTTTATGTGTGCGCGTGCATGCATGCTTCTTAGGCATGCATGCATGCATGTCTCATGCACATACATGCATGTATGTCTCATGCACATACATGCATGTATGTCTCATGTACATGCATGCATGTATGTCTCATGTACATGCATGCATGCATACGTGTTTCACCGCCCTATCTATGTACGTGCTTTGCGTTTGTTCAATTTTATGCTTTCCATACTTTGACTCTTTAAACGAGATTCATCTTCGTTCGTATTTTTTTGTTTCTTCAGTCTGTCCCTTTCCAAACCATTGGCTCACTAAAAACGTTTACAATGTTTCGATTGCAATGTTATGCAAATCAAAGCGTGTTTGTATTAATTTTTTGTTACGTGATCCCATCAGCTGTGGAAGTGTTGTGCATGCGTGCGTACATGAATAAATGAAGTGTATGTCTGTTTGTACAATGTACACGCCTTGCAGAGTGCTTATAATACTTGAATGTAGTATTTGCACTGGAGCATCAATGAACGTCCATTCATTTATGTGCAACTGCATGCATTGTTGCTTGTTTATCACTAATACCAGCTTTAAAATGTGCCTCTGTGTGTGTATGTTTGTGCGTATGTGTGCGTATGTGTGTGTGTGTTGTGTGTAAAGATATGTGCACGTGTGGTATGTTATCATACTCTCGGATAATGAAGATTTGACGGCAAGATAAGGAGATACTCACTCACCAATCGGCCAATGTGTGCGATGCCTCAGTTCCTGCCTGCGTATTTAACTCACATACGCTGAGTAATTAGGGCCACGTGGGGACGGTTGTTGTAACAATTTATGTTGAAATGAGTTTGCATTCATATTTCTGTATTCATTTTAATCATTGATGTGAATGTGGCATCGTGTGCGTTTCACACGTTGGTTCTTAACAAACAGTCCCACTCATCTTGTTATCCTTCTTGCAAATATGCAAGCATAGGCAAAAACATTATGTAATAACAAACAAGGCATACATTTTTTTACTCTCTCTCTTCTCTCCTTCCTCTTTCTCTCCTCTCTCTCTCCTCTCTTTCTCTCAGCAGTGATTGAATGAGGTCGCGTCATTTAATTTACGCCTCTACGTCATGGGAAAGAACATTTTGTTGTTTGGTCCTGATGATGATGACGACGATGATGATGTTGATGATGTCGTTGTTGTTGATGATGATGATGTTGATGATGTCGTTGTTGTTGATGATGATGATGACGATGATGGGTGGGTGATAATTACGTTGATATTAATTATGATAATCAGCGAGGGTAGGTTGATTAACGAGATTGGAGCGCAATGATGAACGCTCTCAATCTTGATAATGATGATAATCGTGATGATGATGATGTTGTTGTTGATAATGATGATGATGATGATGTTGAAAGAGATGTTGATATATATAATCAATAATAATATAATGTCACAATATCATTGAATGTATTAATGATGATGATGATGATGATGTCATTGTTGTTGATGATGATGAAGATGAGGTTGTTGTTGATGATGATGACGATGATGTTGTTGATGATGATGACGACCTTGTAATCATACAGAATTGCAAATGTATGGCAATCGATTTATACCGGAATGATTAATTAATTGAGTTGATGACGATCAAAATAATAATAATAATGATGACGATGATGATGGTGATGATGACAGTGACGACGATGATGACGGTGTTGATGATGATCACAATGACGACGACGATGCTGATGATGATTGTCACATCACAATGATAAAGATTGATTATTACGACTAGAAAATACTTTTTTTTATTCTCCGCAAAGCAAACTTTTGCCACACAATGATAATAATGATGACGACGATGATGACGACGACGATGATGCTACTGATACTAAAAATAGTAGTAATAATAATAATGATGATGATGATGATAATGATCATCATCTACACCATACACACTACACATAACAATGAAATTAATGGTGATGGTGATTGTGATGATGATGATGATGATGATGATAAAATTTCGCGTATCATAAATTAGATGTATAGTAAGGATTGGTATGATGCTGATGACGTCATCGCAATACCAATCGTGATGATGATGATGATGATGATGATTCTATGGACGATGACGCTAATGATAATAATGGCGCCAAATTGTTTGGCGCCAGATTCATAATGACGAAGTCTATTTTCATGGAGAAGATGATGACGACGACGAAGATGATGATGATGATGAAGTTGCTGATGATAATGCTGATAAAGTAGTTGATGATGGTGAGGGAGATAGTAATGATGCTGATGATGGTTCTGTTAGAAAAGTGTTGATGATGAGGAAGATGGCGATGGTAACATTCAGAAGATTATGACTTTGAGACAAACATTGATGATGATGATGAAGATGATGATGATGATGGTGATGATGATGCTGATGAAGAAGAGGGGATAATGACTGAAATATAAATATGATGAATACTATGTTTATGATGAGACTGATGATGACACCGGTGATAATGCTTTATTATTATTGCTATTATTTCATCATCATCGTAATAATCATTATCATCATTATCGTCATCATCATCATCATCATTGTAATCATAATGAACCCGGTAGAACATCATGTATATTGAAATTTTGCTGGCACTGATGACTCCAGCAATGGAAATGATTGGATTAAACTGCGGCCAATGCTTTAATAAAACAATTATCTCGGCTTAATTCAATAATCTCTGGCCTAAATTATGGGGCGTCATCAATGAGGTGGCGGTGGAGTTTGTGTGGTTGTTTTGTGGTTGGTGTGGCATGGTGTGGTGTGGTTGTTTTGTGGTTGGTGTGGTTGTTTTGTGGTTGGTGTGGTTGTTTATGGTTGGTGTAGTGTTGTTTTTTTTGATGTGGTGTAGCTTGGTGTTAGTGTGGATGTCTTGAGGTTGGTGGAGGTATGTTTGTAGTGGTGGTGTTGTTCTCTTGGTGGTGTACACTGTGGTAATGTTTTGTTGCGCGATGTTGAGTTTTTGTCTTATTGTTGTGATTGTTGTAGTAGTGGTGAGTTTTTTTGATATGTTGACTTTTTTATCAAATCAAAAATCAAATCAAATTTTATTCAATCAATCCAAGTTAATAATAATTAGGTAATGATTAGGAGACCAAAGCTAAAAGAAAACAAAATTCTTGTGTCGCAGGCCACCGTTCACAAATTGTTCATTCTAACACGATTTTTAAGTAAAATTTATAATTCATGACAAAATTAACATAATGCACAATTTTATTATTGTTGATATCTTAGTTTGCATTAAAATCAATTTATTTCTTGATGTTATCAAGGTTAACATTGTTTTTCCTATTTGTCATTGATATTTTTTGTTATTGATGTCTTTGGTATTGATGTCTGTGTTGTTGATATCTGCGTTGTTGATGTTTTTGTTGCTGATGTCTTTGTTGTTGATGTCTTTGTTGTAGATGTTTTTGTTGTTGATGTCTTTGATGTCAATCACTCTACTTTTAAAGTTGTTACTCCAAATGCTTTTGATTATAAAAACTAAAACAAAAAGAAAATCAATAACCATGTTGTTTTGATATTAAAGATAGTGAGACTTGCTCGCTATGCAAAAACGATCCTTATCATGATGACGATGATGATGAAGAATACACTGATAATAATGACGATGACGACGATGATGATAACGATGATGATTGTGATAATGATGACGATGATAGTAACGGTAATGATTGTGATGATGATGACGATGATGATGATGATGATAATGATCTTTTCAGGAAACGAGCTCCACTTTCAGATAAAGTTATGAAGGAAGACAATAGTACATTCAACACAGGTTTGTATGATGAGGAAGATGATGATGCTGATGATAACAAAAATAAGAGTGGTGTTACTCTCAATGACACTCACGCATACACAAACCACATACCTACACAAACACACACATACACACACAAAACACGGACATACACAAACACACACATACACACACAAAACACTCACACACACACACAAAACACGCACATACACACACAAAACACGCACATACACATTTAAATACCCTTACACATACAAAACACGTACATACACAGACACACTCACACATGCACACACAAAACACTCACATACACACACAAAACAATCACATACACACACAAATCTCGCACACACACACACAAAACACGCACACAGCAACGATGCCGATATACAAGCCTTCTAGTTCGACACGGACGTACGTTGACCCGCACACGTACGAAGACCCCACGCTGGCCGTCAGACAGTTCGCCATGGAGATCGACCCAACCAGAATTGTTATCGAATCTGTCATTGGAGGAGGTAGGTTGTGGTAGCGATGCCGACGACGATGGTGATGGTGATATGTTGAGGATGGCGATGATGGTGATGATGAGGATGGTGATATGATGAGGATGACGATGATGGTGATATGTTATCACAACTGTTATTCTTTCTCAAAAATAATGTTTATCAATTTCATCATTAGGCGAATTCGGAAACGTTTGTAAAGGAAAACTTCTTTCATTTCTCCCATCTCTTCTTCCATCCATCAACAACGCTTCCGCTACCACAGCCACCACCAGCAATAACAACAACCACACCACAACTGCGACTCCCGCCACAGCGAGCCACCTCCAAAACAACAACGACAACGACGACGATCAGAGTCAGGATCGCAAGGGATCGAACTTGAGTGACGAGTATCCCGATCAGACATCAAACAGTTTCATATTTGGTAGATTTGCCAATGCGAGCACGCGGAACTCGACTGCAGCGAATAGAAACGGTTTCATAAAAGGAAAGCAAGGAAATCTCTCTACAACTTTTCACGGACCGGTAAAGCCGTGCAACGGTTCTCAAAACGATCAACAGTACCGACATTCGACGGCCGGCTTACCGGTTGCTATTAAAACGCTCAAACCCGGTTTCACCGAAAAAAACCGGCTCGATTTTTTAGCCGAAGCAAGTATTATGGGTCAGTTTGATGATTGCAACGTTGTGAAACTGATAGGAGTTGTCAGTTTGAGCAGTTCGCCTATGATCGTTACTGAATTTGTCGAGAATGGAGCACTAGATAAATTTTTGAGGGTGAGTTTTTCATTTGTTTTATTTTTTGAATTTGTAAAAATGGGTTGCGTTTTGGCCGTTTTTTTTATCATCATTACGATCTCATATTGTTATTAATATTTTATTAAAAAATGATGCAAAATAAATTAAGAATGATAATAATAAGTTAACTAATGCATTAAAAAATACCAAATAAGTGAAACACATTCTGGAGTTAACAATCGATAATAAAGTATAATGATGGATTAGTCTACATTTTTTCCTGCAAGAGTTAATCTGAAATATAATTATTTATTCATACGTGATTGCACCATTATAATCATTCGAACAGACAACCATTGTCACAACTGTCATTGTCACGAACCATTATCATTTGGATTATCATCACATCATTACAACCATCACCATCATTAATATCATTATCATATAATTACAACCACCCACCAAATGAGTATCTACATCGTGCCATTGAAATTGCCACCACTGCAGAAAAACGCAGGTGTCTTCACTGTCTTTCAGCTGGTCGGCATGAGTAGAGGGATAGCGTCCGGGATGTGTTACCTCTCCAACATGGGATTCGTTCATAGGGTTGTTCATTTTTTGTTTCCTCAAACTTTATCATCATTTCTTTCTAAATCACTTCCGTCATGCCGTTCGTCATCTTCATTATTTGATCTACTCATTCACTCATTATCTCAATCTATCTAACAGACATTTGAATCAGTAAAACATTTCACATAATAATTTAATCGAATCCATCATTATTCATCGATCATTTTGTCATAACTTTATCACTCATTCATTCACTCACTCATTCACTCATTTACTCACTCACTCACTCACTCACTCGCCAGGACTTAGCGGCTCGCAACATTTTGATAAGTTGCAACTTGGTTTGCAAGATTTGTGATTTCGGTCTGTCGAGAGAGATGGAGGAGCATGAAAGTGGACCTGGAATCTGTTCGGTGGAGGTGAGGTACCGATGATGATGATGATGATGATGACGATGATGAAGAAGATGATGGTGATGATGATGAAGACGATGTTGATGATGATGAAGACGATTATGGTGAGGATGATGAAGAAGAAGAAGATGATGATGAAAACGATGATGATGTGGTGGATGATGACGATGATGTTAGTTTTTAACGGTAGCCGCGACAATAGTGATGCCGATAAGAATGGAAACATTGCTTGTTACGGCGCCGACTGATATCAAAAGATACGGAAGTTCATCGGAAAGAAATTTTATCACTTCATTCATCACTTTTATCATTTTTTGTCTTCTATCGTCTTCACAACTATCATCTTATCATCATTTATTTTGTATCCAACCATGCCGTTACTCTCAATACTGTTCATCTTCGCCGGATTTAACACCGTCCGTAAGTGCTTCCTCTACTCCAACCGCAGTTATCTTTTCCAGCATATTCCTACTTACACATGTGCAATTTCTTCGTTCTCATTGTTAAAAACTCAAATGCATTTCATCGATATTTTCATCAGTCTCGTCATGCTCGTCTTCATCATTATCATCATCGCTATCCCTATCGCAATCATCATCATCATCATTGCACCACCACCACCACCATCATCATCACCAGGACGGGAGACTTCCAATCAGATGGACAGCTCCTGAGGCAATAAAATACCGGAAGTTCACCTCAGCGTCGGACGTGTGGAGCTACGGAGTGGTCACGTGGGAGGTTATGTCGTACGGACAGCGGCCATATTGGAATTGGTCCAATCGTGACGTCATCGAGGCTATCGAGAAGGATTTCCGGTTGCCTCCTCCTGCGGTTTGTTGTGTCAAAACTCAGAAGTTAATCTCTCTTTAAATTGTTACTGCTTTCGACCAACTGCTTGCCACTAACACTGCATCTATTTCGATTGCTATTTTTAATCAGGGTTATAGATACAAATAATTTTTTTGTTGTATTAACGTTATTGTCGTACCAGGAATGTCCGGAAAGCATGTACCGCATAATGATGAGTTGCTGGGAGAAGGACAGGAACTTAAGACCAACATTCAACAATTTGGTCTTGGCTTTCGATAAACTTATTCGTAACAGTGATCTCCTGAGAGTGTTTGCTGAGTATGTTTTTGTTGTTGTTCTACATTTGTGAGGTTGTTCATGAGGTTATTGTTGATGTTTTTTATACCGCGAGCTATTGCTGATGTTATTAACGTTTCCTGTAAGTTGAAGCTCTGTTGATACGTCGCCGTTGGTGGACGACGTTGGTGATTTGAACGAAACGATAAATCGTATTGATAATTGAACGAAAACAGATCAACTGACCTTTTGAAGGAAGAACATCAAAGCATATTTTCAAATAAAATTCAAGATCAACTGCAACAGCAGCAACAACAACACTTCTTGCAACAACCACCCCATCAACTTCAACACGCGCAACAACACCACTCCTCCTTCAACAACATCGACGATGAATCATTTGACTTTAAACACCAGTACAAACAGGGCCTGAAGTTGAACGTCTCCCAGTACAGTCTTCTCAATCAACAACAACAACAGACAATTATACAACAACAAAAGCAGCAACTGCTGCCTATCAACATGACCCGACAACAAAGTTTCAACAACAATTACCAACAATCCAATTACAACTCTCACCAGCAGCCACAACTTCAACACTTGCAACATTCTCCTGTCCTCCATCTCAACCACAACTTCCAGTCACAAGAGCCCCAACAGCAACATTTTTTCACAAGTCGTCGTCAGCAAAAGCCTCAACAGAATATCAACAACTTCACCTCAACCAACAAACGCCACAACGGCAACAACATTGCCAACAGCAGCAACAACCTTCTCCTAAACTACAACAACCACCACCAGCGACAGAAACGACAACTCAACAACAACCCGGTCAGCGACTGGTTGAAAGGATTAAACATGGATGACTATGCCGATCAATTTGAGCAATCCGGCTTTTTCCACCTGGACCAGATTTGCGAGTTGAACACTTTCAT